TCAGGGTGCCAAGGTGTTTTCAAAGATTGATTTGAGATCTGGCTACCATCAGTTGAGGATTAGGGCATCCGATGTTCCTAAGACAGCTTTTCGGACTCGGTATGGGCATTATGAGTTTCTAGTGATGTCATTTGGGCTGACAAATGCCCCAGCAGCTTTCATGGATTTGATGAACCGGGTGTTCAAACCCTACTTGGATTCCTTTGTGGTTGTGTTTATTGATGATATCTTGATCTACTCCCACAGTGGAGGGGAGCATGAGCAGTACCTTCAGATCATTCTTTAGACTTTGAAATACAGCCAGTTATATGCTAAGTTTTCAAAATGCGAGTTTTGGTTGAGTTTAGTTGCTTTCTTGGGTCACGTTGTATCAACAGAGGGTATTCAGGTGGATCCTAAGAAGATTGAGGCAGTCCAGAACTGGCTTAGACCCACATCAGCTATAGAGATCAGTAGATTCCTGGGTTTGGCGGGCTATTACCGTCGATTTGTGGATGAGTTTTCATCCATAGCAGCCCCATTGACCAGATTGACCCAGAAGGGTGCCCCGTTCAGGTGGTCAGACGAGTGTGAAACAAGCTTTCAGAATCTCAAGATTGCTTTGACCACGACACCGGTATTGGTGTTACCCACAGGTTCAGGATATTATACAATATATTGTGACACATCTCGTATTGGTCTGGGTGCGGTATTGATGCAGGGTGGCAAGGCTATTGCATATGCTTCGCGGTAACTGAAGGTTCACGAGAAGAATTACCTTGTTCATGATCTAGAGCTGACAGTNTTTGAGCGCATCAGAGATTGGCAGGATGACGATCCTCATTTACTTGTCCTTAGAGACACAGTGCAATACGGTGGTGCCAAGCAGGTTACTATTGGAGATTACAGAGTTTTGAGGATGCAGGGTCGTATTTGTGTGCCTAATGTGGATGGGCTTCGTGAGTTGATCCTTGAGTAGGCTCACATTTCTCGGTATTCTATTCACCCAGGCGCTGCCAAGATGTACCAGGACCTGTGACAATATTATTGGTGGAGGAGGATGAAGAGAGATATAGTTGCTTACATGGCTCGGTGCTTGAATTGTCAGCAGGTGAAATATGAGCATCAGAGACCCGGTGGTTTGCTTCAGCAGATGGAGATTCCTAAGTGGAAGTGGGAGCGTATCACTATGGACTTTCTTGTTGGACTCCCACGGACTCAGAAGAAGTTCGACGCCGTATGGGTTATTGTGGATAGGCTGACTAAGTCAGCACACTTCATTCCTATGGAAATTACCTATTACTCGGAGCGGTTAGCAGAGATTTATATTTGGGAGATCGTCTGTCTTCACAGTGTGCCCGTGTCTATCATTTCTGATCGAGGTACACAGTTTATCTCGCACTTTTGGGGGGCAGTACATTGTGAGTTGGGTACGCGGGTTGAGTTGAGCATAACATTTCATCCTCAGACGGACGGGCAATACGAGCGTACTATTCAGATCTTGGAGGATATGCTGCGCACTTGTGTTATAGACTTCGGAGGATCGTGGGATCAGTTCTTGCCCCTTGCAGAGTTCGCCTACAATAATTGCTACCAGTCGAGTATTCAGATGGCACCCTATGAGGTATTATATGGTAGACGTTGCAGGTCGCCAGTTGGGTGGTTTGAGTCGGGGGAGGCTCAGTTGTTGGGTACAGATTTAGTACAGGAGGTCTTGGACAAGGTCAAGATTATTCAGGATCGACTTCTCACAACTCAGTCCAGGCAGAAGAGTTATGCCAACCGTAGAGTTTGTGATGTTGCATTTATGGTCGTAGAGAGAGTATTATTTTGGGTATCACCCATGAAGGCTGTAATGAGGTTCAGAAAGAAGGGCAAGTTGAGCCCTAGGTATATCGGACCTTTTGAGATTCTAGAGAGAGTGGGAGAGGTGGCTTACAGGTTTGCGTTGCCACCTAGTTTAGCAGTTGTTCATCCGGTATTCCATGTGTCCATGCTTCGAAAGTATCATGGCGATCCATCCCATATGTTAGATTATAGCTCTGTCCAATTGGACAAGGATTTGACTTACGAGGAGGAGCCGGTGGCAATTCTAGCCCGGTAAGTTCGCTAGTTGAGATCGAAGAGTTACCCTTCAGTTCGAGTGCAGTGGAACGGTCAGCCTATTGAGGCAGCTACTTGGGAGTCCGAGTCCGATATGCGGACTAGATATCCCCACCTTTTCACCAGCCTAGGTACTTTTCTATATCCGTTCGAGGACGAACGGTTGTTTTAGAAGTGGAGAATGTGATGACCCCAAAAGGGTCATCTTATGCTTTAGAACTCGAATCTGCACTCTTAAGCCTTAAAAATCTCATTTTACCATCTTCGATTTGCGTGCGCAATCCGGACAGGTTTTCGAAAAGCTTTTATGTTGAAAACTAATGAAAATAAGATTTTTTGCCTTAAAAGTTAATTTTAGTTGACTTCGGTCAATATTTTTGGTAAATAGGCTCGGATCCGTGCTTTGACGGTCCCGGTAGGTCCGTATCAAATTATGGGACCTGGGCGTATGCCCAAAATCGAATTCGAAGGTCCCTAGCTTGAGTTATGAATTTTTGATGAAAATTAAAAGTTTGGAAATTATTTGTTTTTAAGAATTGATTGATATTTGACATTGTTAGTATCGGATCCGTATTTTGGTTCCGGAGCCCGGTATAGGTTCATTATGATATTTAAGAACCGTCTGTTTAATTTGGTGAGAAACGGAGTTGATTTGACGTGATTCAGACGTCCAGTTGAGAAAATAGAAATTTTAAAGTTTTCTTGAGAATTTCATTTGATTTGGTGCTAAATTCATAGTTCTAACTGTCATTTTGGCGATTTGATCACGCGAGCAAGTTCGTATGATATTTTTAAACTTGTGTGCATGTTTGGTTTGGGGACCCGAGGGCTCGGTAATTTTCGGATAGGCCACGAGATATTTTGGACTTTGAAAATCTGGTATTTTGCTGCAGCAGATGTTCTGGCATGTCCTTCTTCGCGTTCGCGAAGGTATTCTCGCGAACGCGAAGAGTAAACTGGGCAGCTGAAGTTTTATTTTTCACGAACACGAAGGATTTGTCGTGAACGCGAAGCGATGGGAGCGTTACCCTTCGCGAACGTGACCAGCTCCTCGCGAACGCGTAGTGTTAGGCACACCTGGGGGAGGGTTGGTCGTTCCTTCAACGCGAACGCGAGCAATGCCTCGCGGACACGAAGGCCAGGGGGAGTAACCATCGCGAACGCGAGCAGGATCTCGCGAACGCGAAGGCCTGGCAGCAAGTATCCTTCGCGAACGCGACAGTGGCCTCGCGAACGCAACCAAACGGGTAGAGGCGATTTTCAAGAGTCATTTTCTTCCCCAAAGTGTTGGTAAGTGATTCTAAACCATTTTCTTTCAATTACCCATTACATTTCTTGAATTATCAACCTAAAATCTAGAGTTTTCATGGTAGAATTAGGGGTTAGGGTAGAAACTAGGAATTTCAGAAATTTAGGGATTTAGACCTTAATTTGAGGTCAGATTCCAAAAACAATTATATATTCGAGCTCAGGGGTGAATGGGTAAATGGATTTTGGTCCAAACCTCAAGTTTTGACCAAGCGGGCCCGGGGTCGATTTTTCGACTTTTTGGAGGAAAATTTGGTAAATTTAATTTATGTAATATAATTGATTCCTTTAGCAATATTTGATATTATTGAGTCAGTTTTGAATAGATACGAGTGGTTTGGAGGTGAATCCCAAAGGAAAAGCTGCGATTGAGAATTAAGTGGCCTTCAGACCGAGGTAAGTGTTGTGTCTAACCCTTACTTGAGGTAATTAAGAACATTAGATTACTTGCTAAGTGAAATCCATGTGAGCGGCGTATATGTGAGATGACGAGTACTTATGCGCCGCCAATTTACCTGTTTTCCATGTTTCTCTGTTTTTCTTATATTGTCTCATTCCTATGCCTAATTGCAACGTGTTATACTAGTGTTGTTCAATTTATCATTCTTATCATGTTTACGGATTTTCTAGTGATAATTGAGTTTTTATTTCAAAGTTGAGATTGATATTATGGAACCAAATGTTGAAGTAAGGTTTGTACTTGTTATTCTATCTCCCTGTTGTTATTTATGCATTACATTATGGTAAGGGAGGGTGTTACTGCACGAAGGGTGATGCCGTGCCATATTGTGAGTGTTAATGCACGAAGGGTGATGCCGTGCCATATTGTGAGTGTTAATGCACGAAGGGTGATACCGTGTCGTTTCTATTAATTTTATAGTGAGATTGAGAGTAAAAGCACGAAGGGTGTTGCCGTGCATTTTTCCTTACTGTATTCACTATTTCTGTTGATTCATGGTATATTGACTACTCCGGTGATCATTCTGTTGTAGTTCTTTATCTTGTATTCCCCTCAGTATGTTCCCCTCCCGATAATTCCTGTTTAGTTCTTCATTTCTGTTATTGTATATACACTGTTAAATTGTACAAGTTGATTTGTAGGTGCCTTGCCTTAGCCTCGTCACTACTTCATCGAGGTTAGGCTCGACACTTACCAGTACATGGGGTCAGTTGTACTGATGCTGCACTCTGCACTTTCCGTGCAGATTTTGATACCGGCTCAGGTTGATCGAGATTTTGTTATTGGTCCACTGTCCGGAGACTCAAGGTAGATCTGTCGGCGTTCACAGACCTTGAAGTGCCCGTCTATCTTTTATGCCCTACTGTTTTCTTTCATTTAGACAGTTGTATTTCTTTCAGACTATTACTTGTAGTAAATTCTAGAATGCTTGTGAATTGTGACTCCAGATCAGGGTGGCAGTAATTAATACAGTTTTATGATATTCCGAACTTAATATATTTCATCTTAGTTAATTATTGTTAATTACTAAATGGGAATAAGGAATTAGTTTAATGATTCTCTAACGTTGGTTTGTCTAGCAAGTGAAATGTTAGGCGTCATCACGGTCCTGTCGGTGGGAAATTTCGGGTCATGACAGAATGGCAGGCTGATGACTATTAAGTTAGTTGTGGGAGGTTTTACTTTGAACATAATCAGAGCATACGCACCCCAAGCAGGCTTGGATGAGGAAGTGAAGAGGCATTTATGGGAGGATTTGGATGAGATGGTGCGTGGTATCCCACATACCGAGAAGCTTTTCATAGGAGGAGATTTCAACGAACACATTGGAGATAGAAACGGAGGAGGAACGTCTCTGCTGGAATTTGCTAGCGTATTTGATTTGGTGATAGAAAACTCGAGTTTCCCGAAGAAGAGGGAGCACTTGGTCACCTTCCGAAGTTCGTTGGCCGAGACTAAGATTGATTATTTACTCTGCGGGAATTCTGATATAGTTCTTTGCACGGATTGCAAGGTCTTCCCGAGTGAGAACCTCTCGACCCTTCATAGGCTTCTGGTCATGGACCTTGAGATCACGAGGAAGAGAAGTAAGAGGGCGATGTATAGCCAACATAAGATCAAGTAGGGAGCCTTGACGGAAGCTAAAGCACAGGAATTGGGGGTCAAACTGGTGACTATGGGGGCTTGGAGGAGGAGTGGGGACGCAAGTGCTATGTGGACCACAACTGTGCAGTGCATTAGGGAAGACGCGAGAGAGGTATTAGGGGTCACAAAGGGTTACTCTGGTGGTCACAAGGGAGACTGGTGGTGGAATGGAAAGGTGCAAGGAAATGTGAAAACCAAGAAAGCAGCGTATCTGAAGCTAGTGAAAAGTGTAGACGAGGAGGAGAAGAGAGCGAATAGGGAGCATTATAAGTTGGCTAAGAAAGTGGCAAAGCTAGTAGTTATGGCGGCCAAGACTATAACTTTTAGTGATTTGTATGAGGAACTCGAGAGCCGAGGTGGGGATAAGAGGTTGTTCAGGATAGACAAGGTGCGGGAAATGAAGGCGCGTGACTTGGACCAAGTGAATTGCATCAAGGAGGAAGAAGGTAAAGTTTTGTTGGATGATGGGCTTATCCGTCGGAGATGGCAGACCTACTTCCATAGTCTCTTGAACTAGGAGAGGGATAAGAGCATTGTACTAGGTGATTTGGAACTCTCCGGGAGTCGTTGTGACTTTGGGTATTGTAGGCAGATTAGATTTGATGAAGTTGAGGGGGCTATGCATAAGATGAGCAAGGGCAAAGCGACCGGGCCGGATGAAATCCCGGTGGAGTTTTGGAAGAGTGCGGGCAAGGCAGGCTTGGAGTAGCTCACTAGGATATTTAATGTCATTTTTAGAACGAAGAAGATGCCTGAAGAGTGGAGGAGGAGCACGATGATTCCTGTATACAAGAACAAGGGTGATATCCAAAATTGCAATAACTATCGGGGTATCAAGCTGCTTAGCCATACTATGAAAGTCTGGGAGCGAGTGGTAGAGTTAAGGGTGAGGATGAGTGTGTCTATTTTCGAGAAGTAGTCTGAGAGAGAGTGGTAGAGTTAAGGGTGAGGAGGAGTGTGTCTATTTTCGAGAAACAGTTTGGGTTTACCGCAGAGGCGTTCGACTACAGAAGCCATCCACCTTGTTAGGATATTGATGAGCAATATAGGGAGAAAAAGAAGGACTTGCATATAGTGTTTATCGAATTAGAAAAGGCATACGATAAAGTTCCAATGGAGGTTTTGTGGAGATGTTTGGAGGCTAGAGGTGTACCTTTTGCTTACATTAGGTTGATTAAAGACATGTATGATGGAGTAAAGACCCAAGTGAAGACGGTGGGTGGGGACTCAGACCATATTCCGGCTTTGATGGGGTTGCATCAGGGGTCGACACTCAACCCTTTTTTGTTTGCTCTAGTGATAGACGTACTGACGCGCCACATCCAAGGAGAGGTGTCGTGGTGCATACTATTTGCAGATGATATTGTATTGATTGACGAGATGCGAGACAATGTGAATGTGCAATTAGATGTATGGAGGCAGACCCTGGAATCTAAAGGTTTCAAGTTGAGCAAGACCAATACAGAATACTTTGAGTGTAAGTTCAGTTGCGAGACTCAAGAAGGGGAAGGGGAGGTGAGGCTGGACTCGCATGTCATCCCTAGGAGAGGGAGTTTTAAGTACCTTGGATCGATTATTCAGGGGGGGTAGGAAGATTGATGAAGATGTCATACATCGTATTGGGGCGGGATTGATGAAATAGAGACTCGCCTCCGGTGTTTTGTGTTACAAGAAGGTTCCACCGAAACTTAAGGGTAAGTTCTATTGAGTGGTGGTCAGACCAACGATGTTGTATGGGGCTGAGTGTTGGCCAGTCAAGATCGCTCATGTCTAGAAGATGAAGGTAGCATAGATGAGAATGTTGAGATGGATGTGCGGTCACACCAGGTCAGATAGGATCAGAAATGAGATTATTCGCAATAAGGTGGGTGTGACCCCTATTGAGGACAAAATGCGGGAAGCGCGACTTAGGTGGTTTGGTGATGTGAGGAGGAAGAGCACAGATGCCCCGGTGAAGAGGTGTGAGATGTTGATATTGGAGGGCCTACGGAGAGGTAGAGGTAGGCCGAAGAAGAGGTGGGGAGAGGTGATTAGGCAAGACATGACGCAGGTTCAGCCGACCGAGGACATGACCCTTGATAAGAAGGTATGGAGGTCGATGATTAGGGTAGTAGAGTAGGTAGTCTAGTGTGTTCATAACAATAGTATTGGCACGCAGTCTCGTTGTCTGTTGGTAGTAGGTTTCTATTATTTTCTTTCATTGTTGATCATCTTACTATCTTGTTGTTTTTATTCTGCTTTTATATGGATTTTTGGTGTTGTCCCTTATTGTCTATATTTTTATCAATGTGGTGCTTATGCTTTCCTGAGCAGAGAGTCTATTGGAAACAACCTCCCTATCTTCACAAGGTCTGTGTACACACTACCCTCCTCAGACCCCATAACGTGGGATAATAGTGGGTATGTTGTTGTTATTAAAGGTTTCACCAACCATTTATTGAATGGCAAACCTGTCATTTTAAATAGCAGCCATGAATGAATGCGATCTGTTTAGTGATTCATAAAAATAAACTAAGTTAACCTGTAAGATAAAAAAAGTTTGATCTTATCCAAAATTAGTTATTAATTACATTCTTTTATATCATAGGCAAGTATTTTCCTCTACAATTTCCTTCCCCCACCGGTCAACCTTTTCCTCTCTCTTTCCTCCACTTGCTCTCTTTTCCCAGTTCCTCACATGGTTTGTCTTTACATCACTAAATCCAAAAACAAACAAATACTAACACAACTTGACACATCTTGCTTTCCTCTCTCTCTTTAATTTCTCACACACCATAGATATATTCTTCTGAATACTAAGCTCTCAATATATATCATTCTTCTGAATAATACATGAGATATTATTACGAGCTCAATATATACGCATAATCATGGCTACTCTTCAATCAGATCAACACAAACAGCTAAAGGAAATATTCACGCGATTTGATCTTGATCGTGATGGCAGCCTCACTCAGCTAGAGTTAGCCGCTCTCCTCCGTTCACTAGGCCTCAAACCCACAGGAGATCAAATCCACATATTGTTAGCCAACATGGACAACAATGGCAACGGATTCATTGAATTCGACGAACTCGTAAATGCCATATTACCCGACATGAATGCAGAAATCTTGATAAATCAAGAACAACTCATGGAGGTTTTCCGATCGTTTGATCGCGACGGTAACGGCTACATCACGGCGGCTGAGCTGGCTGGATCAATGGCTAAAATGGGACGTCCGTTAACGTATAAAGAGTTGTCTGACATGATGCAAGAAGCTGACACGAATGGTGATGGTGTTATTAGTTTTAATGAGTTTGCTAATATTATGGGAAGATCTGCAGCTGATGTTCTTGGCTTAACTGTCTCCTAATTAAATGGTCGTTTATTTAATTACCGGTATATTAGAGCGGTTTTCCGGTATGTTAATTATAAGGTGGTTTTTTTGGTCATTTTCATCTGACGTGGTATCATTAATTAACGTTAACAGTTGTCGTTGGTTGATCGACCGTTTGTAGAAGATGATTTTGATGGTTTTAGATTCGGTCCAATTGTTGACCTTTGTGGTGGTGTTATTGTATTTTGTGCATTGATTTTTTCTTTGCGCCTTCTTCTTTGTTTCTTTTAGCTTTTGTGTATTTTTGAGGTCAGATTATTGGACCCTTTAATTATGTGTAATGACCAAATATTGTAGACAAGAATTTGACAATGTCAAAGTATTTTGAGGTTATGGGAGCCTCAATTAATGTATATGATTCAAGAAGATTCCCCCAAATTTATCTTTTTAACTTTTATCATTATTTTTATCTACATGGATTTGTTTATATGGGTGAAACGGTCTTCTTATTAATTTGGCGTTGAGTACTATGCATGAAAAGTCAAGAGGGGTTTCATTTGGACCACTTGTATGACATAAGACAAACATACATTCATCTCCTCAACATCTTAACAGGTAGTGGTTGAATTTTGTGCATTGATTTTTTCCTCGCATCTTCCTCTTTGTTTTTATTTTTCTTGTTTCTTTTAGCTTTTGTATATTAGAGAAGGATAATAACACTTATTTTGTCATTGTTTTTTATGGGCATATGCATGAAAAGTAAAAGAGTGTTTTCTTTTGGACCTACTTGTACATCATGAAACTAACACTCCTCCCCCCTAGATCTCAGTAAGTGACTCGATATTTTGGATGTTAAATGATACTTCCTCCTGTCCCCGTAGTGTTTTTTTTTTTTTTTTTTATAATATTTAATTTTTTCAGATATCAAGAAAGAAATAACATCTTTTTTTTAAAGTTATCCTTGGAATAAAGAACCTATGAGTAATTTATTATATTTTCAAGTAGCAAATTAAAATTAATATGATCAATTTTATTATTAATTAATATTAAAATGTGAATACTTTAATATGTGTTAAAAGAACAAAAACAATTCACTTAAGAGTGAACAGTGAACAGGAGAGAGTAATATAACTAGATTTTAGATGTTAATTACATGGTCTTGAAGATTCCTTTTGTCGTTGATCGAGATAAACAAATTAAAGTTCAAACTGCAACCTATTCTTATTTCAGCAATCATCTTTCTAATTTCCCTATATCTGGATTTATTGTTGAAACCTGCAATAATTTAAAAAGAATGCACATGGTGTAGCTGGAAAACGAAGAAACAGGAATTTCATTTAATATCTTAATCTGTCACTTAATAATTTTTGTCCTCCTGACCCACGGTGGCGGAGCTATAGCGAAGAGAGTTTAATTGAATCCTTATACAGCATATACAGGTAAAAGAAACTTTTTATGTATATATGAAACTTGTTGAATCCCCTTTACATAATAAAAACTTTTAATGTTGCCCCCTTTTTTTTTAACCCTAAAAGAAAAGGAATAAAAAAATCTTTCTCCTATGTTGGCAAAGGCTAGCTAGGAAAGGTGGAACCTTCGTAGAATTGTAGTGTATATATGCCACCGGCAAGAGAAGATAATTGAAACAAAAAAGGTAGAATAATGCCACTCTGCAAAACAAAGTCTATAACTGTTCGGAGCATGGTGAAGATTTACCCAACAAAACTCAACTGCATGCCATCTGCTATTTGCTGTCGTCAGTTACTTTAACTTTTTTATTTCTATATATAGAAAGGCCGACTGATCAGCTTAACAGTTGTGATTTCCAAGATAGTTCAACAAAAAGGTTATGTAAATAAAATACTAATAATAAAATTTACGTAGTTAGTAAAAAGGAAACAAACAAGGAAAAAGGAAAATAGCAAGCCCTAGTAATTGCTAATGCAATAGCGATAAGAAAGACATCTCTTTAGCTAGAAAGAGTTCATTTCAAAAGTAAGACACATATTTAGAGGTTGTACTGTCACGATCCGGAATTTCCACCCTCGGGATCGTGATAATGCCCAACATTTCACTTGCTAGGCAAGCCAACGTTAGATGTAGTTATTAACCATTTTTAACATATCAATTTAAATGAAAACCAATAAGTTGAATAAAACTAAAATAAAGTGAATCAACTAAAATAATGGTGATATCCAGATACAATCCCAGAACTGGTGTCACAAGTGCACGAGCGACTAGAGTACTACAAATAATAGTCTGAATGAAAGCATAACTGTTTGAAATGAAATAAACAGCTAGAGTAATGTAGAAGGAGACTTCACGGCTGCAAACGTCGTACATCTATACCTCAAGTCTCCGTCAAGCAATCAATCCGAGCAATCTACTGACCGCCGCTAGGACCGACTCCAAAATCTGCACAAGAAGTGCAGAGTGTAGTATGAGTACAACCGACCCCATGTACTTTGTAAGTGCCGAGCCTAACCTCAGCGAAGTAGTGACGAGGCTAAGGCGAGTAACTTACAATAACCTATACATTGTATAAATATAATAATATGAAAGAAAAACAGGAAATGACGGCAAAACAATAAACTAATGAAAACAAACTCAACCCTCGAAACCAGTGAATCCAGAAATATCATCCCTCAGAATATCATATGAAAATACGGAAGCTAACACAATATAACAATGAGTACAACACACACAATCTGTTGCGGCGTGCAACTCGATCCCACCGTACAAACATAAGCCTCCCTTATTTCACCGTATCAATATCAAGAATAACATATAAAATCCGTTGAGACGCGCAATCTGATCCCACCGTATCAATCTCAAAATCCTCCCTTATTTCACCATATCACAACTGTTGCAGTGTGCAACCCGATCCACAAACAAATTCAATAAATGTAATCAATCCAATAACTCAATTCACAAGAATCTCTACGATTAAAGAATATGAGAGCAAAGCAATAAAGGAACCCCGTATCAAATCAAGGAATGCTACAATTAACACAAAGAAATAAGAATAACGCCAAATATATGACAGTTAAAGTATACAAATAAGAAAGTTAAAGCAAGTAGCAATTAATCGTGGAATCATGAAAGAAACAAATATTTCAATACAAGAGTAAATAAATGTCAAGTAATAAGTTACAACATAGCAAGCAATTAAGGCATGTAACAGTTAAGACATGGAATAAGATAATTAATGAAATACGAGAAAGCATGGAAACAATTATTTTGACGGCGTATATACACTCGTCAGCTCACATATATGTCGTTATACACATAATTCACATAACATATAGTTCAAGGGTTCCTAATTCCCCAAATCAAGGTTAGACCCAATATTTACCTCGCTCCGCAAGCAAATCAAAGCTCAACCGGGGACTTTCCTCTAAATTTGCCTCCAAACTAATCAAATCTAACCAAAATCGACTTAATATCAACAAACAATGCTAGGAAAATTAATTACAATACATAAAGTTAAGATCTTTACACTTTTTTCAAAAAGTCAACCCCAGGATCGCTTGGTCAAAAATCGAGATTCGGACCAAAACCCAATTATCCATTCACCCCGAGCCCGATTATGTGATTAGTTTCGAAATACGACCTCAATTTGAGGTATACATCTCAATTTTATAAAACCCCCAATTCTATCCAAATCCCTAATTTTCTACCATGAAAGAGCATAGATTAAGGTTAGAAATTAATGGGTGTTGATGGAAATGGAAGAAAATGAGTTAAAGTATACTAACCTATGAAATGGGGATGATATTTCTCTTCAAAATCGCCTCTAGGCCGAGCTCTAATGTGAAGATGGTGAAAAATAAAGAAAATCCTGTCTTTGGAACATTTAAGTGACTAGGCGTCAGGCATTCTTCGCGTTCGCGAAGGGCCTGACGCGATCGCGATGTGCAGCGACCCAAATGACCTTCGCGTTCGCCAGGGGTTACATGCGTTCGCGATGGTCTGTCTCCCCTATCCATCGCGTTCTCGAGCGTGGGCTCGCGTTCGCGTAGAACAACCCCTGCTCCCCTCCCAGACCCCTTAACTCATCGCGTTCGCGTAGTGCTATTCGCATTCGCAAAGGGTGATCCCACCATTGCTTCGCGTTCGCGTCCTTAGCCTCGCGTTTGCATAGAGGAAACGCCACCCCAGCCCAGGTTACTCTACGCGATCGTGAGAGTATCTTCGCAATCGCGAAGAAGGATGCACCAAACATCAGAAAACTCAGAACAAGCCATAGCCTAAGTCCAAAAATCACTTTGTAGTCTATCCGAAACTCACTCGAGCCCCTCGAGCTCCTAACCAAACATGCACACAAGTGTAGTAAAATCATTCGAACTTGATCGTGCGATCAAAATACTAAAATAACACCTAGAACTACGAATCAGATATCAAAATGAATGATATTTTCAAAGAAACTCAAGAACATGCAAATTTACAACCGAACGTCCGAATCACGTCAAATAAACTCTGTTTTGCACCAAATTTTGCAGACAAGTCATAAATAGTGAAATGAACCTATACCAAGTTCCGAAATCAAAATTTGAACCCGGTAGCAACAAAGTCAACCTACGGTCAAACTTAGGAATTCTTTTAGCCTCCAAATTACTAGTTTTCAACAAATCACATTAAATTAAGTTAGGGACTTCCGAATTCGATTCTGGGCATACGCCTAAGTCCCAAATCACGATACGAACCCACTTGGACCTTCAAAATACTGATTCGGGTCCGTTTATACAAAACATTGACCGTAGTAAACTTAAATGGGTTTTAAGGCTAAATTTCACTTTTTCATAGACTTTTCACATAAAACTTTTTTGAAAAAAGACATTGACTGCACACGCAAATCGAGGAAGGCTAAACAGAGCTATTCGAGGTCTCGGAACATAGAAATGAAGGCTAAAACTGAAAATGACCTATCGGGTCATCACATTGTTCACCTCTAAAACAAACGTTAGTCCTCGAATGGACATAGAAAGATACCTGGACTGGTGAAAAGGTGTGGATATCTACTCCGCATGTCCGACTCGGACTCCCACGCGGCTGCCTCAATCGGCTGACCTCTCAACTACACTCGAACTAAAGGATAACTCTTAGACCTTAACTTCCGGACCTCCCGGGCTAGGATGGTCAGCGACTCCTCATCATAAGTCAAATCCTTGTCCAATTGGACTGAGTTTAAATCTAACACATGGGACATATCACCATGATACTTCCGGAGCATGGCCATATGGAACATCGGATGGACTGCTGATAAACTAGGTGGCAATGCCAGTCTATAGGCCACCTCACCTACTCTCTCAAGAATCTCAAAGGGTCTGATATACCTAGGGCTCAACTTGCCCTTCTTTCCGAACCTCATCACACCCTTCATGGGTGAAACCCGGAGCAATACCCTCTCTCCAACCATGAATACAACATCGTGAACTCTACGATCGGCAT